TCTCAAAAAAAAAAAAAAAAAAAAGAAAGTGGCCTCATCCAAGGTCTGCTGGGCTGGGCTGCATAGCCCCCCCAATGTGCTGGAAGGGGTATTATGCAAAACAAGGCTGTCCCTTAGACTGGCACCAATTTCATAGTGAAGAAGACATAGTTTGGGGTTTATTGTCAGGAAGGCTTGATAGGAGAGCCTGTAATAACTGTGCCCACTGGACTTTGTGGCTCTTTTGCAGGGGCTGCCAGCAGAGTCTCCAGAGAGCAACTTTGCTGGCCTCCCAGCCGGAGAGCAGGATGCGGAGGTAACCCAAACCATGGCTCCCCTTCCCACCACTGGAGCAACTGCTGGCCTTGGCTGGGGGTGCCAACAAGGACAGGGCAGGAGGCTGTGCAGAAGAGCCTTCCTGGGTGGTAGGCTGGGGTCAGTTAGAAGTGGTGAGTGGGTAGAGATAAGGGCAGCCCCACTGGGCATTTAGTGAATAGGATGGCTCCAAGGTGGTGGGTGAGGAGTGGATTCAAGGGGGAATTTGTCCTGCCAGACCCTAGACTTGAGAATGTGTCGTTCTTCATCCATCTGTGTTTACACAGGCAGAATGAGTTGCAGCTGCTCCCTGGCACTGGGGCCACACAGGTCTGACTTTAAGGTTTCTGCCCGCCCCCACTCACTGTGCCCAAATAGGACCCCCATCCATCAGGCAGGCAGGACTGGGATTCATGTGAGAAGTCCCTGACTGCAGTGTGGGTGCAATGCCTGGGAGCACCAGCTTGCAGTATAGACTAGAACTTTTCTTGGACCCTGATACTCAAAGTAATATCTGGATAGAGTTTGGGACTCTAAGGGATTCCTGAAAGTCTTCGGGTCTCATGATTTGCCTTTCTTTCTTTCTTTTTTTTGTTCTTTTTGAGACAGAGTCTCATTATGTTGCCCTCAGTGGAGGGCTGTGACATCACCGTTCACAACCTGAGACTCTTGGGTTCAAGCAATTCTCTTGCCTCAGCATCCCTTGTAGCTGGGACTACAGGCACCTGCCACAACACCTGGCTATTTTTTGTGTTTATTTAGCAGGCTGGGGCCGGGTTTGAACCCACCCACCCCAGTGCATGTGGCCGGCACCCTAACAGCTGAGTTATGGGCACCAAGCCCTGATTTGCCTTTTCACCTAATAACTTTTATCAAGGAAACAGTATCCATGACACTGTTAACAAGAGTGTTCCTGACAGGCCATCCTGAGCACATTGGTGACATGGCTCAGAACTGTCCCTGCTGCCCTCACCAAGCAAATCCACACCAGCGTGGCCTTCCAGGCATTTCAGACATGGTGGGAAAGATGTGCTATTGATGTGGGCCCTGGAGTTTGATACCATTAGGGTGATTGGTTCTGCTTTTAGCCAACGGATTTGCTCATGTTGCTGCTGGATAGACTCACGGGTCTTCTTCTTTCCTAGGGAAATGATGTTATGGAGGAAGAGGATGAATCACCCACACAAGAAGATGGTAAAACACCTGGTCCTTGTTCCCATTTATTGTATTTCTTTTTGGGGTGTTCTTTCAAGGGTAGATAAAAGAGGGCCTGTATGACCCAGTGGTACTGCCCAGTTGTGTGGCTTTTGGGGGACAGGTTGTCTTCTTAATGGCATATCAAAACAAACAGGGCTCTGATGACCTCAGTGACCTTCCCAGATCTTTCTGGGGTTCAGAGCCAAGGGTGTCAGGGTGAGCAGGGTGAGGATGCTGCAGAAGACACGCGTAGCTCTGCATTTACCTTGTGTGGGTTCTGAAGCCTTCTGGGCAGCCCTGTCGCCAGCCTCCCTGCAGCCAGTTTCCACCTCAGTCCCTCAGAGCAGCCCCTTATTGAGCAGCAGTAGCAGTGTCTTTGTGGGGAGGAAGAACCATTTGGCAGCTGGTCAGGTTTGGCTCTGACAAAAAAACTTGAGAGCTAGGACACATCAAAAGAACTAGGTCCAAGTTTCTTCAGAAGCTCAGCTTAGGCAAGAATCTTAGAGGCTGCTGTGATGGTTTTCCTACCATAACTCAGGCCTCATTTATGTCTTCAGTTGGAAGAATTTTATTTCCAGTAAGGCTAGAAGAATGGGCTACAGAACAAGGAAGCAGGAGGAAGGGGGGCAGGAGAGTCACCTCTGTGCAGGGAACCTGATTCTTGCCTCTGCTACTCTGAGGTGTCTCCTACAGGGATACCTCTAGAGCATACGTGTGCCCCAGCCTGGATGTAGACATGCCAGCAGATGTCATCCAAGTTGCTTCTGCTTTAGCGCTGGCCATTGCTTGGGGGGTGTCAGGAGGTGTGCATGCAGGCTTGATGGCTCCTGCCTGGCCAAGGAGCCTGAGCACAGGGTAGCCCCAGGGATGGGCTCCTCTGCTCCATTCCAGCCCCAAAGGGTTTGGAGCTTCCCTGACTCAGGATGAGGAGGGCTCCAGGCTCCAGAGGTACCTTTTGTGATTGTTTCCCCCAGAGAACATTTGCTTCTAGAAAGTTCTCTGAGGCCAGGTTGTGTCATCTGACATTCCCTAGCCTTCTTGGTCAATGTATGTGTTGATTTCACCAAGAAAAAAAAAATCACTTCTAAAACTTTTTCCTTCCCCTCTTAAATACCTATAGATTTCTAGTCACTTAAAATGTACTCAAAATAACAACTCAATTCTCATAAGCAATTAAGTCATAATTTTGTGAATGTGGTCATTCTGACTGATATGCAAAATTATGGATCCTGACACCTTTAGTTGTTATTTTATGTACTTATTTTGCAGAGACTTGTGGTCCTAAACACTCAACATGTACCCAAAGCAGACACAGACCTGAGCAGGGTGACTCTTGCCTGGCTATCTCTGGTTGGTGCTGCCTGGCCTCTGCCCGGCTCCGCTCTCCAGAGTTCTCAGCAGAGCCTGCATCTTGCAGCCTCGTCAGTGACCTGACTTGTTAGGAGACAGAAAGGAGATAGAAAGGTGCCAGTTAGAGAAACACAACAGGAGAGCTTAAGAACACAGACATGCCCACACAATTTATTCCTTTTTTGTCCACTCTTTACCCACTTAATTCTTGCCATTTTTTAAACATATGAGTCAACGTTTTTTGTCTCCATCCTTAAGACTTTTATTTTAAGGACACCAAAGCAGAGAAAAACACAGCCAGTCCCTCTCTAACTACATTAACTCCATTACAGGCCAGAGGACATGCGCATTTCTAGGTATGGAGTGTGACAATAACAATGACTTTGACATCGCCAGCGTGAACGCTCTGGACAATACGCTGTGCTCTGAGGTCTGCTTACCCGGTGAGTGGCAGTCTGCTGAACATGAACTTGGTGGGAGACAGTTCTCTCTGCTCTTACCCAATGCTCTTACCCTGATACACCCATCTCCTGCCCTGCAGTTCTTGCCAAGAAGGTCCAGGGTATACTAAGTGCTGGAGACCAGTTGATGAAAGGAAGCGAGAGACCTTGGGCTTTTTGAGAGCAACCTCTACTCTGAGTGAGAATATTAGGATATGAAGAAAGAGCCAAACTTCTTCTCTGTGTGATTTGGCCTCATCTTGAATCCCTCCCATTACGATCTTACTGATACCATGTCAGTAGCCTGCTTTTATTTTTATCAACAGGAAGTTTGAGCAGATAAAACACCACCTCTCCATGAAGGTCTCAGAAAGATAGCCGGAGCCCTTTAAAAGTGAAGCCAGGCCAGCCACAGTGGTTCACACCTATGATCCTAGCATTCTGGGAGGCCAAGGCATTGGATTACTTGAGTTCAGGACTTCAAGACCAGCCTGACCAAGAGTGAGAGCCGGTCTCTACTAAAAATAGAAAAACTAGCCAGGCATAGTGGTGGATACCTATGCTCCTAGCTACTTGGGAGGCTGAGGCAGGAAAATCTCTTAAGACCAAGAGTTTGAGGTTTTTGTGAGCTATGACTCCAGGGCCCTCTACTGAGGGCAACAGAGTGAGACTATCTCAAAAATAAATAAATAAACAAGTAAATAAATGTGAGCCCCAGCTCCTTAGAAGAAACGTGTTACACTGACGCTCAGAAAGGAATGTAAAGCCAGTGTTGAACAGGCTGGGAAATCACTCTGAGCTACCATGTGCATTGGACATACTAGACTCGAATCCCAAAGGAGAGGTCCAGGGCTGGGGGTGGCTTATGCTCGCTGGAGCCCCAAGTTTAAATCTGATCAGTTTGTCGCTTTTATTCCTTGTCACAGTGCTGATGGGAACATAGGATAACGCCTCTCAAAGGGCCCCGTCAACCTCAATGTGAGCACTGCCCAGTCCTCCTCTCTGTGTGTAGTCAAGGGCCCCAAGAACTACTTTTCTAAAAGCCAGGTCCTGCCCAAGTGGACTCCATCACATGTCCCCTCCTCCTTGTTCCCTACAGAGATTGTGCTCCACGTTGTGTTGGCTGTGCTCCTCTTAACCACTCCCTGAATTAAGACTTACTCAGCTTCAGAGCAGCCCCGTCATGGGTCCAGTGCTTTACTCGCTCAGTGAAGTAGCTGGAAGTGTTAGAGCCACACAACCTCTGGTAGCTGCCACTCTCCATCAGCCTGTCAAAGACATGGCTCCAGCATGCTCTGGCCCCACACAGGCTTATGGCAGGGGAAGCCGGAATTCTCAGGAGACACTTTCTCCAGCCTATCAATGGGCTCTTAAGTCATTTTCTCTTCCTTGCGTCCTGAAGATACCACCTCGGTATCTCAATCTTCAGTGAGGCTTCTTCTGCACAGGCCCAGGGAAGGCCCCCTTCCTGCCTGCGCATGGAGGAGCATGGAGGAAGGAGCATTGACCATGTGCCCAGCCTCCTGCCACTTAGGCCTGGACTGGGGCTGCTGGGCCCAGGGCCCACATCAACTCACTGCCTTCCTACCCCTGACCTTGCTTCCCTCTGTCCATTTGTCTTTCACATCAGCTTGTCAAATGTATATCTGTCTGATTTGTTTATTTTTTAAACTCATTTGTTATCTAGAGTTGGTATCAAAGTCCATGTTCACTCTGCGCCAACACTGTCCCCTCGCCTCTGCTTAGCCCAACACCAAGCTTGCTGGACTTGCGCACACCTGGGAGGCTCTTGCATAGGGCTATAAGCTTCATTTCTAGCAGGCAAGGTCGTGTATTTAATATATTAAGATTTTCTAAGAAAAACATTTGTAGCCAGGCACAGTGGCTCATGCCTGTAATCCTAGCACTCTGGGGAGGCCAAGGTAGGTGGGTCGCCTGAGCTAGAATAACAGTGAGACCCCATCTCCACCAGAAATAGGAAAACTAGCTAGGCATTGTGGTGGGCACCTGTAGGCCCCAATGCTTGAGAGGCTGAGGCAAGAGGATTACTTGAGCCCAAGAGTTTGAGGTTGCCATGAGCTATGATGCCATGGCACTTTCCCCAGGACAACAGAATGAGACTCTGTCTTACAAAAAAAAAAAAGAAAGAAAGAAAAATATTTGCAAAACTCTATTAATTTCTGTTCAACAAAAATGGGAATGCTTCTGTGGCAAGATGATGAGAAGGATTTATCTTTAACTAGCATCCTTGGTCAATTGTTGGGTGAAGAGGATATTTCTACCCTGGCTCTGCCCTTTGTCTCTCTGCTGGCCATCTCTCCTGGGGCTCTAGGAGAGAAATCTAGATTTCTAGATTTCTAGAGAAATCTCCCTCAAGAGGCTGCCCCACTCACCCCGATTTTTTGGCAAAGGGAGCTCATGGGATCTATTGTAGCCAACAGTGCTGGTTGAAACTGAGCTTATTTCTTCTGCTTCCTCCTCTTCCTCACTCCCTCCGGCCAACCTGCTTGTCAAGACTTATTCCACTTATGGGACTGAGGGAGGGGAGCAGGAACTAGAAGAAAGTAGCCATGGGAGTCCTTATGATTTCAGAACCGGCTATTTTGAGATAATACTGGGTTCACAGTTTGGGCCAAACATGCAATCAAATACTGTGACTGCTGTCAGAAGGACTCAGTGTCCACTGTGTCCTCGCTAATGATCTAAAGGCCTCTGGATCTCCCATTACAAGAAAGGAGAAAGTCTGCTGACTTAGCAAAATGTTTCTCTGGTTCTTCTGTTAGCATCACACTGGCAGTAAATTCTCTCAAAGTATCTGCTGGGTTAAAGACAGAAATAGCCACTTTGGTAGGTCCCAAGGCACAAATAGACCTCTTCACACTCAGCTGCTCTACGTTCAAATTCCCTCCCTATGACAGAGACACACACAGGCTCTCTTGGCTCCTGGCTACCTCTACAGCCAGTTCCCGTCAGCACAGCTGCTCACATACCTGGTCTCTACCCAGTCTGCTTCTCTCTTCAAGGGGGTGCCACTCCCTTCTTAGGGGACCAGTGGAAAGCCACACAGGATGCTCCCATGTGCTCTGCCAGGAGACCCAACTGGTGTTGAGACTGAGAGCTATCCCAGTCCCCATCCTCACCAATCTGTTCAACACTTGTGAAGGGGCTTACCGGTGCCTATGTCATTCCAGTTTTCCTCTCCATAAGAAGCTTCTGGGGCCAGGTACAGTGACGCACGCCTATAATCCTAGCAGTCTGGGAGGTGGAGGTGGGAAGATGCTTGAACTCAGGAGTTTGAGACCAGCCTGAGCCAGAGTGAGACCCTGTCTCTACTAAAAATAAAAAAACTAGCGGCGCCCGTAGCTCAGCGGTTAGGGTGCCAGCCACATACACCAAGGCTGGCAAGTTCAAATCTGACCTGGGCCAGCTAAACAACAATGACAACTGCAACCAAAAAATAGCTGGACATTGTGGTGGGCACGTATAGTCCCAGCTAATTCGGAGGCTAAGGCAAGAGAATCGCTTAAGCCCAAGAGTGAGACTTCTTAGGCCCCAAGACCAAGGGGGAATTTCTGATTCTTCACCTGGTAAGTGGAAGGTGTGTTCTTGAAGAGGTGAGAGCCCAGTGGGTGAATGAGGCAGGAGGCAGTAAGATTAGAATGGTAAGACCACAGCTCAGTGCCTGGAGCTCAGAGGTGAGGGCTCCGGCCACATATACCTGGACTGGCAAGTTTGAACACAGCCCGGGCCTGCCAAAACAACAATGACAACTACAACAAAAAGATAGCCAGGGGGGAGGCGCCTGTGGCTCAGTGGGTAGGGCGCCAGCCCCATATACCTAGGGCGGCAGGTTCAAACCTGGCCCCAGCCAAACTGCAACAAAAAAATAGCTGGGCGTTGTGATGGACACCTGTAGTCCCAGCTACCTGGGAGGCTGAGGCAAGAGAATCGCCTAAGCCCAGGAGTTGGAGGTTGCTGTGAGCTGTGTGACACCACGGCACTCTACTGTGGGTGATAAAGTGAAACTCTGTCTCCAAAAAAAAAAAAAAAATAGCCGGGCATTGTGGCACGCACCTATAGTTCCAGCTACTTGGGAGGCTGAGGTAAGAGAATTGCTTAAGCCCCACAGTTTGAATTGCTGTGAGCTATACACCACAGCACTCTACCAAGGGCGACTCTGTCTCAAAAAAAAAAAAAAGAAAGAAAAGGAAGAATGGTGAGGTCACACTAAGTAGAGATGGTACTGGGGAATTTGGTGGCAGGATGTTGATCAGGCAAGTGATGGTTCTATGAGAAGCTCTGGGTTGTGTGTGTAATGGAAAAAGGCAAATAATTTGGGCCTTTTTAGTGGAAATACAAACACAATTTTTAATGACTATGTTATTGTACAGCAGTGGGCATAGCCAGTTAAATCTAAAAATACTTATGGAGACCTAAAATTTAGTTCCCATCTCTCTTCGAGCCGCATATCCCAAGACCAAGCTGCTACTAGGAAAGTTTGCACTTCCTGGACACTAAGGAAAATTTTGAATTAAGTTTTTCACTCCCTGAAGAGAAACTACAAAGACAACTGAATTACTAGAGTCCTTAAACTTAATCAGTAGCTTGGTAGAAGCAGGAAAAGGGTATGCAAAATGTCCCTGAATGTGCTCCCGAAATCCACCCCTAGAGGTCTCTTCACTCTCCCATTTCTGAGTCCCCAAAACAGGAGTTGAATGGAAGTTACCTTTGTCTATCTCCCTCCAAGGATTTTTTTTTTTTTTGAGATAAGAGTCTCATTATGTCACCCTCAGTATAGTGCTGTGACCTCACAGCTCACAATAACCTCAAACTCTTGGGCTTAAGGGATTTTCTTGCCTAAGCCTCTGAAGTAGTTGGGACTATAGACGCCTGCCACAACGCCAGCTATTTTTGTTGTTGTTGTTATCATTGTTGTTTAGCAGGCCCCAGCTGGGTTCAAACCCACCACCCTAGTGCATGTGGCTGGCGCCCTAATCACTGAGCAAAGGGTGCCAAGCCACCAAGGATTTTTTTTTTAACTTTATTCAAATTAATATGAGGGTACAACATTTAGGTTACAATATTCTCACTTCCAGGCCTCCAAGGATTTTAAAAATCTGAGCTCCATTTTCTTTTCTTTCTTTCCTTTTTTTTTTTAAGAGACAGAGTCTCATTATGTTGCCCTTGGTAGAGTGTCGTGGCATCACAGCTCTCAGCAACCTCCAACTCTTGGGCTTAAGTGATTCTCTTGCCTCAGCCTCCCAAGTAGCTGGGACTACAGGCACCTGTCACAACACCCAGCCATCTTTTAGTTGCCATTACCATTGTCGTTTTGGCAGGCCCAAGCTGGGTTTGAATCCGCCAGCTCTGGTGTATGTGGCTGGCACCCTAGCTGCTGAGCTGTAGGCGCTGAGCCCTGAGCTCCATTTTATGATTGGAAGGTCCTGGATTCAGACAGACAAAATGATGGCACTCACTCCAGAAGGCTCCTCAGCACCCAGACTTACTCCCTACAAACAGGCTCACTGTCCAGTGACGCTGGGGAGATGGCAGCAGCGGGGCTTGACTGTGGGCTCATTAGAGTCCTTTCCTGGGGAATGAGTGCTTCATTCTTGCTGCCGAATCTCCCCTCATCACAGAGTGTACCAAGAAACCAAGGAGAACAGAGACTTCAGATGCAAGTGTTGAGTCTGTTCCACAAGGAACCAATTTTCAGCCCTGGCTAAGGCTTCTGGAATGGTGGAGTTTGTACCAGTCTCTTGTGAATTCAGAGTTAGGACAGCTCTCTGGGCAGCCTCTCAGTGCCAGCATTTCATGGTGTGCTGTAGTGACAGCGGTGATGTTACTGCTGTTTTTCATGTGTCTGTCTGTCTGTCTTCTCTCTTGTTTACCATTTGCTTTTGGTCTTTCCTACTAAACAGCCGCAGTTCCGGAGTCCTGCCCCATAAACATTGAGGAATAGGTATGAGATCTACCAAATTATACAACTGAACAAATAGCTCATTTTATTTGGGGTTCCTAGCTTAAAAAGCTATATTGCCTGACATTCATCTTGCCATGCCTAGAGGGGAAGAAGCACCTTTGACTCAAGTCCCAGGCTCCAGTGCCCCCAGAAAGACCCCAAATTCAGTTTGGGTATAAAAGATGGGTACTTAAGATTCTCCTATTCTATTCCCCTCTTTCCCTGGGGTCCACCACCACAAGGCTATTATTAGACCTTTAGAGGAGATATTCACACCATAATGAAAAGTAACAAGTTTAGACCTAGCACCCTTAAAGGTGTCCTGGGCCAGCCTGAGGTTGACCTTGGACACTTGTGAGTGGCCTCCCTCAAGCTCAGGACTACACTGTACAGTTGGACGACCCTATCCACTGAACAAATCCTCTGTTGGCTCAGGCTCTGCCAGGCTCTGGTGTGCCACAGTGGGGAACCAGAGCCTCTGCCCTGGAGGAACTGACAGTCTCTGGGAGAAGGCAGCGAGAGCATAGCACACTGGACCTCCCCAGGCCCACTGGACCTCCCCAGGCCCTGAGGTGCCGTGGGGGGGCGGGCCCTGAGAGACAAGGCTTAAGAGGCCCAGGGGAACCAGTGGAGGAAATGCCTCCCTCACCCCAGGTGGCTGAGGTCCTGCCTTCCCTCAAGAAAGGGAGCTGGGGGCTGGAAAGCAGGAGGCAGTGGGAGGAGACCAACCCAGGTGCTTACTGAGCAGTCTGTCAGGGAGCCAGGTGCTCTGCCAGCACTCTCCCTTTACTGCAGTTGGTCCTCACAGCAACCCTGGGAGCTGAGTACTTGTCTCTCATTGGATGGATGGAAAAACCAAGGCTCCACATAAAGTGGTGTACTCAAGATCACAGCTCATTGTAAACTGGGAGTGAAGCCAGTTTGTGTGACTGCAGATTTAGTAACACCACTAGGCAGGGCGCAAACAGGTGGTGGCAGGTTGGATGCAGAGCCCGAGGGAGAGAGAAGCCCCGAGAATGGGCTTCCAGGTGGGCAGGGGGGACTCATGCACAGTGGCAGCAGATTTGGGGCAGGAGGATGAGCTCAGTGGTGATACATGTGGAACCCCAAGGCTCTCAGGCTAATGTCGCCTGAGTTAATGGCCCCCGCTGATAGCAAACCTCTGCCTACTGCTTGGTACAATGGGAGGGGTGCCTCCCTCTGTCCTCCCACAGGGTGCCATCTTGTCCCAGACACCCTGTCGGGCAGCCAGTCCCTTCCTGCAGAAAACAGAAAACACTCTGGCCTGAACAAAACTACTCTTCTATTCCCAGCACTTCATCCTGCCCTGATGAAAATTGCTCAGCTAGGCCCTGTCTCTGCGTCCTGGTCCCAGTGCATCATACGTACAAACACTCTTCAAAACCATTAATTATGGCACAAAAGTGTGTCCTAGGGCAAATTCACAAGACAAGGAACAGCTTTTATGTCCTTTCTCTAGGAGCCAGTGTCAGCAACAGTACCCAGCCCAGAGGGGCAGGAGCAGCCCCTGCAACACTGTGCCTGCCCCCTCCATCTTTCTCTTGTTTCCTGTGACTTATGCCCATATAGGAGCTTCAGCTCACATGCATCCTGCTAGCTTCTCCACCAAACTCTCAGGCTGCCCTGCTGGAGATACTGACTGTACCTGGCCAAAGGTCTGACTCCTGTAACCTTCACTTTCTCTTTCCCAGGTACCTGGCACGCTGATGACAACATTGTCAGTCGTCGTAACACCCCGCGCAGGCGCCTGTCATCCAGCAGCCTGGAGGACTCTGAGAATCGGCCCTGTGTGTGGGGTCCATTGGCTGTCTGAGAGCCCCAGCTGCTGCACAGGGCTCCTTTCCCATCCTCACATTCCATCTGTCCTCACCGGGCTGCTGACCTCCTGGGCATCCTTACCAAGACGTGTGTAGACCTTTTATACTCATGTGAAAGCTGGACGTTGAGTTCGGCCTGCTCCTTCTCCTAGCCTCCTGTGACCGTGGTTCTTCCCCTCTCAGAAGGGACAGGAAGCCTCCTTTCCTTTCTCCTTATGGACTGAGGCCACTCAATGAACTGCAGCTCATGAGACCTTTGCAGAGACTCTCTGGAATGTTCCCACTGTATGTCAAGGTCCAGGTGGAGCTGAGGTCCAAAGCTAATTGTTTCTCACACATCTTTTTTCTCCTTAAGGGGCAAACCAAGAAGACTTGGAGTTTTGGCAGCTTTGTTTAAAACATCTGGCATTTTCTGGTCTCTGGGACATCATAACCAATTTGAAACCCCAATTTGGGGTGGGGGTGGGGGCTGGCCCCTATGAAAAGGGAGAGCCACATTGTACTGTACCTGGAGTTTTTCCCTCTGGAAGCAACAGGAGCTCCTTTCTCAAGGAAAAGAGAGATGGTGGCAACCAAAACTTGGTTAAAAAAAAAGAAAAAATTCTTCCTTCTAGTAGCAGAGGTAGTCTCCTGAGCCTCATGTGCCTGTCTGCTTAAGGAAGAGCCTTGAATCTGAGAATTGTGTTAAGATAATTACCCTTAAGGGAAATTTCTCCTGATCAGGTACATTCAGGAAGGCTTGGGACTCTATCCTAAGTGACACTTGAAGAAACACACTTCCTGACAGCCTCCAAGTGCCAGGCACTGTGTGAAGAGCTGTCATATGTTGCCATATTTCATCCTCACCTCAGACCTGGGAGGTGGGATCTTATCCCTATTGCTCCTAACTCTGCCCCCTTTTTTAACAGTCAAAGGAATAGGCTAAGACAGGTGTCACCAGTGATTCTCAAACTGGTGCCCAGGATCCCCAGAGGCAGTGGTAGAGAGCCCTGAGCTGAGCACAGGCAGCAGCGTGGGGCCAGTGACAATGGCTGGAGGTTGGGATGGGGGCCTTCACCACAAGGACCCTCCCCATCCTCCATGTGTTTCTCCCTTCACCAGAGAGAGGGGAGATAGAGACCTCCACATGCCCATTAGCAGTTGAGAGAGAGATTGTTCCACTCATAGCCCCTCTGCCACCCCAGTGTAGGGCATATAAACAGAAGCCTAGAACGGGATGGCTAGACTCTTAAGTTGGTGGGTGCTGTTAAAACTCCTCTCGCATAGTCTTACCAATAGAGTCCATGTGACTCTTGGACAGATGTGCAGTCTACTGGCTTTTGGAAAAAGTGCTTGTTTCTCTGGGAGGCTGAGGCAGGTGAATCATCAGAGCTCATGAGTTCAAGATCAGCCTGAGTTAGAGCAAGACGCTCTCTCTAAAAATAGCTGGATGTTGTGGTGGGCACCTATAGTCCCAGCTACATGGGAAGTTGAGGCAAGAAAATCACTTGAGCCCAAGGGTCTGAGGTTGCTATGAACTATCTACCAAGGGCAACAAAGTAAGACTCTGTCTCAAAAAAAAAAAAAAAGAGAGAGAGAGAGAGAGAAAGTGCTTGTTTGATGGAGCATGAGACTATCCTGGAAGCATATCCTGGAAGCAAAGTTAGTAACAACAGTTTATAAGGTTGAAATATGGGAGAACCTGATAGGCTATGTCCACTGGGGTAGACTTTTTTAGGATTTGGAACTGTTACCCTAGAAGAGCTTTTTCAAGACCATTTCAAAGACCCAATACATTCAAAAGAGCCCAGACACCAGGGGGTTGTTTGCACCTTGTGTGTAGCCAGAGAGGCCAGGAGTGTGATGACTGATGGTTGTTGCTGCCTGGTGGCTGCAGCTCATTATCCTGCCCTGGTGGAAGGGAACCTGTCATCTATCCTGTCCAGAATACTGCAGTGGACTCTGTCAGGTCAAGACCCACCTAATGTCCTTTCCTTCCCCCAACATTGTCACAGTACCTTTCATAGTTAAGATTTAAGCCAGTATAAGTTGAGCAATAACCCCACTTTCTGATTTCCTCTGAGTATGAGCCCAGAAGCACCAGGCAACAGGGAACTTCCCTTACCCTGGGGTGGTAGCACACAGACCCACCTCCTTTCCCCAGCAGGTAGTATTTACAGTGTGATGTTACCTGGGAGGGTGAGAGAAGGAGCTGAGATGAAGGGGATTCAGGTAAACAGTAGCCACAGTGGCCAGGAATCCTAAAAGGAAGCTGTTATTGTCACCCTTTCCTGGAGGATCTGTGTCCTTCCTCCCAGTAAGTGCTCAGTCCTTTCCTAAGAGGCTCAGATTCCTCAAGGCCTCACTTCCATATTGGTTTCTCAGCTCCTATTTTCTTTCTCTCCCCCTCCTTTTCTCTCTGTTTCTTCTTTGTTCTCAGCTCTTTGGTGAGCAAAAATAGCCCGCCTAAAGGGGTTGGTTTCAATCAGCCTGAGGAAGGCAGATCAGTTGCCAGCTCTTCTGCCCTAGTCTAGAGAGTCACATTGTCAAAAGTTCACCTAGAGAGAAGGAATGGTTGAGGGCATCAACTATGGAGGCCTGGGGCGCCTTCCTTTATGGCCAGGCTAGGTCTGTGCTCCCCATGGCCTTAAGGTGGTGTGATCCTGGCCTCTCAGAGCCTTTTTTCCTTCTACCCAGTTCCATCACACCAGAGTTTATTCCCCTGTTTTGGGGCATCTCCTGGGCACAGACCCACACGCTTTTAAGCCTTCTCACCTGGGAAGTTAGGATCCTACCCACCTGGTGTTGGCACTTTGGTTGCTCACTATGCTTTAGGGTCCGCACACCAGTGTGTGCATGTGTAAAGTGTTTATGCCCTCTGTGTACCCCTTGCTCCCTGGAGTACACTCATGGGAACACTACAGCAGGGACATCAAGGACGCAATATTTATGGATTGCTGCATGACTCTTAAAAATGAATAAAACTGTTTACAAGGAAAGGAGAACTATTAACTGCAGACTGGGCTTATGTGTGAAAATTTCTGTTCAACTTTCTCCAGCATTCTCTAATATTTTTACTCAGGAGGATCTAGAGTTAGAGGAGTAGTAGAGGCAAGGGATAGAGAAAGGCATGTTCTCCGCTGGAAGGTGACATGCCACTGCCTGGCTTTCTTTCTATGAGGCCCTGCTGCCTGACACCTGGCTTCCCAGTGCTCCAGCTCCTGGGCAGAGGCTGGAAACAAGCAACCCAGCCCCCACCACCGTCTCTGCAGCAGCCTTAAACCGGAGAACTCCCAACACTGCCGCTCCTCAATAATTAAAGAGCAGGAAACCTGGTGACAGGAGGGAGGCCAGGGGAAGGGAGGAGGGCAGGCCACAATCCCCAGTGTCCCTCTACCCTGAGTCCGGGTCACTTAAAGATTGGCGAAATTAACGGGATAAATGACCCCACTAGGAGAATTTGGCAAGTACGAGACTTTTCTGAGTTCTACCCACAGCCTGTGCTTCCTCTGGAAAGGAGGGACTGCACTTCTGCAGAAGCCTCTGGAAAGACAGTTTATGCGAACCTGGCTCAGGATGCGAGTGGGGAGGGAACTGCTTACCCGGAAACCCTGGATTACCCTCCCCTCCTCGGTGTGTCTGCGATCTGTGGTGGCCGCTTTGTAGACCTGAGCGGCAGGTGGCATCGGAGAGTCAGACCTGCCTGCGGGCACCAGAGACGACTGTCAGGGTCTAGAGAAGGAAAGGCCGCAGAAACATGAGAAAGCGTCACTCGCAGCGCAGGAGAGAGGACAAAAACCCTCAAGGACGTGGTTCCTGAGCTTGAGCCCGCTCCCAACCTTGGCCCCGAACCCCTGGCTGGGTCCTGGAGCAGTCAGCGTCTCGGAGCAGCCTGGGCAGGAAGGGGGAGGGGTGGGACTGGCGGTTCCCCAAGGTGAAGAACCGATGGCGGTTCCTGGGGCCTCGGGAAGGAGTGGTGAACCGCGCGCTTCTCAGACCCCAGCGCGGGGCCCTAGGGCGGGAATGCTCCGAGTCCCGACGCGGTGGCGGGTAGGGGGTTGGGTGGCGCGGGAGAGGGCGGCAGAAGGAGGGAGTTCGAAGAGAGTTGCCGCAGAGTAGCGAGTGCCCGCGGTCGCCCTGGAGACGTGCTGACCAATAGCAGCAGCGGAAGCTGTTTATAGGGGCGGAGCGTCGCCATGGCAGCAGGAGAAGCCTTTGGAGCGGCTACTTAATGCCGGTCCCGGGGCCGCGGGCACTCAGAGAAGCGCCGTCGGGCGGGGGGGCGACGAGGGGCGCTGGAGGAGCCCTCGAGCTGGAGGCAGAGAGCCGCGGGGGGTGGGTGGGAGGAACTTCTTCCAGAACCTTCCTCGGGACCGGGCTGCTCTTTGAGCCAGGTAAGGGACGAGGGACGGGGAGGGCTACAGGCCACGGGAAGGGAGGGCCTCGGTACCAGCCCGCACTCCCAGGTCCCTGACAATGTGGTGGGCCAGGAACCGACATCTGAGGAATTTGAGGGAAACTCGCTTCCTGCCCCCACCTCATAACTCTATGTTCTGTTCTCTTCCTTTCCTTGACTGCCCCCCCAATCCTCATAGCCCTTCAACAATCAGACGACCTTCTCGCCCCCTGCCCCGTCGTTCTGCCTTCCCGGACATTTCGCCCCGTTTCCATTTGTTGTGGGAAGGAAAGGGTGCTGATTTCCTAGTCCTTGAGAAAGGAGGATGGACTCTTGTTCCCGTGCCCTCTTCCCTCTTTTGGCTAACAAAACCTTGAAGAGGAAAGGGAGAGAGAGGCAGCTCTGGTGGGGTCGGATGCCAGGGCATTGCTTCTGTTTCCCAGATCTTGACACTAAAAGATCCTGCCCAACGATCTTTGGATCTTTGGTGGGGATGGTTTTAGAAGAGATTCCCCCCCTTACACATACCCTCTCCCCTCAGGAGTGGGGTAAGAGTTCAGCTCCCACTGTGGTCCCCGCAGGCACCACATACGAATTTGGAGAGGGCGACCCCGGGGTCGCGAGATGGAAGCGCACGTCCGGGAGGCTGTGTAACTGGAGCTGCGGGAGTCAGCGGACCAGAGAGCGTGGCGGGCCACCCCCGGCTCAGCCGGTGGATGGTGACCGTCCCCTCGGAGAGTCGCGGCAGACATGGCGGAGAGCTGGCTGCGCCTCTCGGGAGCAGGCCCGGCAGAGGAGGTCGGGCCGGAGGGCGGCCTGGAGGAGCCCGACGCCCTCGATGACAGCCTGACCAGCCTACAGTGGCTGCAGGAATTCTCCATTCTTAACGCCAAGGCACCTGCCCTGCCCCCGGGGGGCACCGACCCCCACGGCTACCACCAGGTGCCAGGCTCCGCGGCGCCTGGGTCCCCCCTGGCGGCTGACCCTGCCTGCCTGGGGCAGCCGCACACGCCAGGCAAGCCCACTTCGTCGTGCACGTCGCGGAGCGCGCCCCCGGGGCTGCGGGCCCCACCCCCCGACGACGTGGACTACGCCACCAACCCACATGTGAAGCCTCCCTACTCGTACGCCACGCTCATCTGCATGGCCATGCAGGCAAGCAAGGCCACCAAGATCACCCTGTCGGCCATCTACAAGTGGATCACGGACAACTTCTGCTACTTCCGCCATGCCGATCCCACCTGGCAGGTAGGGGAGGCAAGAGCGGTGGCTGCTCCCTCCCCACTCCCTTTCTCCCCACACCACAGTGGATTCACATTCCAAATCTTCAGGCCATGTAGGTGTGGAGCAGCTGCCAGGGCCTAGGAGGGGAGGACCAAGAGTCCAGTTCTTGGAACTGCCCCTCTTTTGACTTCCAAAAGGAGAGAAGGGAGAATGTCCAGGGACAAAGGGCATCAGGGGTACAGACTTTGAGGTTCTAGCCCCTAGAATCTAGGGGAAGGCACCTGCCATTTATCCAGCAGGCCCAGCCAAAGGCCAGGGCTAGACTATGTGCAGACACAGCCCCCTGGGGGAAGTGGTGGACTGAGGGCACATTCTTGTCCCAAGTCCTAGAATTCCTAGACACTGCCCTACTCACAGACAGTTTGCCAGGGCTGGACTCAGAAAATGACACTGGAGCCTGGCTAGTAAGCCAGGCTCTTCATCCCACCTTTTTGCAACTGGCTTGGGGAATGGGTGTGAGAGAGTGCTTGTAAGGGGTGAAGGCCAGCTGTGTCCCATTGGAGAGCCATTGGGGCCCTTCCTAAAACTGCCATTCTAGCCCCACCACCACCACAGCAACTCCTCCCCAGTTTCCTGCCTCCACCCCCTCTTCTCAGCCAACCTCCCTGGAGAGACAATTACCTGAGCCAGGTACTTTCCACAAGGGCTCTGCTTGCTACATTGGCTTTGTGTTCCAAGTCTCCGGAACCTGGTACAGAGCAGTCAGGAGCCCAGGCCACCATATAAACATCCAGCTTGCTGGGGGGCACTGTCCTAGCTCAGCACCTTCCCGCTGTCCCAGCCCAGGACCCTGTCCCCTAGCATTGTTTGGACAAGATTAAGCACCTAAGAATAACACATGGCAGCATGATGATGGGTTTGAGGCTGGGTAGACATTGCCCTGAGCATCTTCAGTGATCAGAACCAAGGGCAATTAGAGAAAGACACCCCAGCAATGCCTAGACTCTTCTCCGGGGCACCCAAAGAGGGCAGGTTACAGGATCACATCATAATCCAAAGCATTCCAAATGGCCCTGACCCTGAGGTAGTGCCATTTATAGCCTCAGTGAGAAAGCAGAGACCCCACCCCCACCCTACCCTAAGTCTGTGCAGTTCAGCTTTTGGAAATGGGCCTCAGGAATGAGCACTATGCTCTTGGCTAGGTAATAATCAACTGAGCCTGGGTTGGGAAGAAGGGGCCCTGGGGGGTGAAGGCTCAAGCCAGCAGCTGGCTCTACAAACAAGGAAAGACACCAAACACACACACATACCCCATCCTCAGCTACCCAGCCCCCTCCCTCGACCCACTCACTCCACAGAGGGCCAGCCAGGCCCAGGCAAGGGAGATGGCGGTCCAGGCCCTGGGAGAGCCCAGGGCTTTGGCCAGAGGCCCCAAGTGGCAGGGTAAGGGAGGGAGGGCAGGTGACGGGGTGGGGGGGTGGCACTGTGAGACACCCTGCAGCTCAGAACTCGGATGACTGAGCAGGCAGATATCCGGGCAACAGGGAACAAAAGCCCCCGACAGCACTCCAGGCTCCCAGTGCCCTGTGGCTGGTGTCCCAGAGCCACAGCCGCCTGGTTAGAGCAGCCAGTCCGTTCTCCTCTCCCCTTCATGTATGGGGGTCACTAGGTGCCACTTCATCACCGGGATCCACACTGATCTAGTGGTTCCTCTTTCTCTCTCCCTCTGCCAGAATTCCATCCGCCACAACCTGTCCCTGAACAAGTGCTTCATCAAGGTGCCTCGGGAAAAGGACGAGCCAGGCAAGGGGGGCTTCTGGCGCATTGACCCCCAGTATGCTGAGCGGCTGCTGAGCGGGGCCTTCAAGAAGCGGGGGCTGCCACCAGTACACATCCACCCAGCCTTCGCCCGCCAGGCCGCACAGGAGCCAAGTGCTGCCCCCTGGGCCCGGCCACTGACGGTGAACACTGAGGCCCAGCAGCTGCTACGGGAGTTTGAAGAGGCCACTGGGGAGGCAGGCTGGGGCATGGGTGAGGGCAGGCTGGGGCATAAGCGCAAACAGCCGCTGCCCAAACGGGTAGCCAAGGTCTCACGACCCCCCAGCACCCTGCTGCTGACCCAGGAGGAGCAGGGCGAGCTGGAGCCCCTCAAAGGCAACTTTGACTGGGAGGCCATTTTCGATGCTGGCACGCTGGGCGGGGAGCTGGGCGCCCTGGAGGGCCTGGAGCTGAGTCCGCCACTGAGCCCTGCCTTGCATGGGGATGTGGACCTCACCGTCCACGGCCGCCACATCGACTGCCCCGCTACCTGGGGCCCTCCGGTGGAGCAGGCTGCAGACAGCCTGGACTTCGATGAGACCTTCCTGGCCACATCCTTCCTGCAGCACCCCTGGGATGAGAGTGGCAGTGGCTGCCTTCCCCCAGAGCCCCTCTTTGAGGCCGGGGATGCCACTCTGGCTGCCGACCTGCAGGACTGGGCCAGTGTGGGCTCCTTCTTGTAAGAGGCCAGGCCCCACCCCACCTCTGGACAGTGCCCGAGTGAGAGCCCAAAACTGCCCCCCCAGCACAGGCCCACGGACACCCACCGCCCAGGCAGGGGCTGGGCCAGGTCTCCCAAGCCTGGTGTCATGAGACTACATGGCCACCAGCCCCTGCTGACCTCAGATTCCAGCCCAGGAGGCTGAGAACTGGGTGCCCAGGACCAGAATTGCTGCCTTCCCATCCAGCTCCCTGTACACCAGTGTTTCATTGATCCATGTCTCCCCTGCCCCCAGGAACAGGTGAAAGGGCCCTGCACCTTGAAAGCTGAGGCCCGGGGTGGGGGTGGGGGTGGGCTGGCCAGGCTGAGGAGGAACAGAAAGGGCCCTCCCCAGAGTGCCCAGACTCCCTCTTGCTTCTCCAGGTCTCTATCCAGAGAAAGTTCCCAGGTACAACAAATGCTAATTAGGTGACAGCAAATTAACCCCCTGGAGGCCTCTCCTGGCAAAGCCTCCCTGGAGCCTGGGGGGCAGAGGCTGGACTGGGAGAGTGGGGCAGAGCAAGGAGACAGAAATGAGGGGAGCACAGGATGGGGCATGGAAATCTTCCCTCAGACCTCAGGGTCTCGGCCAGGCCCCATCCCCAGGGTAGCTGTAAATGGCAAATCTTTGAGCCCAACATGAGACTGGGATCAGCAGGAAGTTGAGGTTCTGAGGGCTGGGGCAGGGATCCTAGGGGGTGGGGGGTGGGAACAGCCAGACTAACTTAGTGTGTGTAGCTGTAGCTGAGGCTTAACTGGGAGGGGCACCGAGCTTGCTGGAACCACTGGGACCAAGAAGAGGGGAGCCCTGTGCCCTTGCCTGTTCTTGTGGCAGGCAGACAGGCAGGTGTACCTTGCTCCACCCTGACCCCCTGGGCTGCAGCCCACATCTACCCTCCTGCCCTATGGGGCAATTTAACCTTTTTCATGGAAAGTTATTTACAATAAGAAATTTTTAAAAATAAAATTTTTAAAAATCTGAAAATAGACCTGCTCAAAACTTTCTTTGGGAACAGGTAAGGGCCAATGTTCCAGAAGGGGACACTGATAGCTTGCAGAGACCTTGATGAACTCCCCACAACTTGGAAGTCCCTAGCAGCCTGGGCTCCAGTGCCCCCATCTGCCCAAAGGGGAAACTTGTGCCTAGATCAGCTGGAGACATGGGAGGGGTTTAGCCCCTGCTCCGCCCACATAGGGACTCACAAAGGACCATGCATCCCTCACCATCAGGCCCCCCACTGTGAGGGCCTGCCTGGGCTTGCCAGCCTGAGCCTCTCTCCAGTGTCTCCCTGCCTCAGTCCTCTCTCCTAGAGGGACCAGGTATGAAGTCACAGGCCCCAGCCCCAGGGCCCCCACTTCCCACTCTGGTGTGCATTCACCCAGTGCAGGCCTGGGGATGAGGGAGGCCAGTAGGGGGCGGAGAGGGAGGTGTTCCGAGTCTCTCTCCTACTCATACCAGCAGGTCCACAGTGTGAGGGACCAGACTACCAAGAGTCCTGGTGGGGAAATTGAGGCACAGGAAATGTGTGTCGTTGACATTCAGTCAGAACCTTTCAATCCCCTCCCCCTAGCTTAGCCTGGGATTTACCTCTCCGTGCAACACCCCCACCCCGCCACCCACATGCTCTCCCTGGTGCAAGGCACTCCCCAGCAGCTTCCACATGCACACATGCACACGCACATGTGTGTGCCCACACACACAGGGGAACAAAGAGGCACTGCCCTAAGCCTCCATGGACCCCTTTCTCCCGATGCCCCTTTCTTTGTCCTCAAGGTTGGCTCTAAGCCAACCTGGCATTCCCCTGCTAACTCGCTGCTTTCACTTGCTAATTATTCCAAATATCCCAGAAGGGCACACACACTGAAGGCCTTACTGAGCCCACCTCCTCCACAAGGCAGGCTAAGGGGGCTGCCCCAGCCTCCACTCCACCACCAGGCAACTCCCCCTTTCTATCTCCACCACCCACCCCCTCCTCTCCATAGACCCCAGTGTTGGGGGAACGAAGTGGGCTCCGGCCTTCCCCACTGGTCTCTAGGAACAGTTTCCCAGCCCAGGTGAGGTGTGAGCACCCTGAATGGACAGATGGGGTGTGTCACCATCTGCCCCAGGCCCATGATGGGGGAAAGAGGGGCATTGTCAGGGGCAGGCAGAACCGCCCATTAGGGGATCACGAGGCCCAAGAAGCAGAGGTTTGCTCCTAGCTGCCAGGGCAGTCACCAGGAGCTCCAGAAAATTGAGAAGCCCGGGCTGTACCTTGGACTAGTCAGACCAGGGTGGAGGGGGAAGTATCAACATATTAAAAGGTCTCCAAACGCTTCCAATGTGTAGTAGCCCAAACTGAGAGGAGGCCCTGGAGAGGGCTTTGCATCCCCTTTCAGGAAGCACGTTGGGGAGTGGGAAAGAGAGCCTTGGAGCCTGCCCCTCAGCTGGGTGGCATTTTTTTTAAAGGTGTTTATTTACCTGTTATTTACTTATTGACTCAATGTAATCCCAACCAAAATGTGTTTTGCACCATGTGACAATAAATTACCAACGTGATGCCCCATTATACTAATACTTCAGTGAGTATTTCTTTAAAACAAAGACACTTTAAACCCAAGTAAAATCATTAAAATCAGGAAATGAACATTGGCCAGATAATCCCATGGAATCGACTCACAGATATCACTCAAATTTTGCAGACTGCCCCAGCAATGCTGCTGTGCTGGTAGCTGACTGCAGGATGACACTCCACTCACTGTCCCATCCCCTCTGAGACTGTGGCCCATGACTCAAGATCTCTGGGCAGGTTCTGTATCTCCTCTAACATGCAAGCCCCACTTTTGAGGTGACCAGCCCCTGAGCCACTTCATTCTTAGGTGTTGGGGCAAGACCCTACCCAATGCAAGGAGCCACTGTCTGTCCCCTAACTTCTTCCTTTTCCCCATTCTCTGCCCTCCCCCTTCCTGGCTAGAGATCTCCCAGCCAGGAATGCTATGGGAGGAAGGCCAGGAGTTCAGACCTTGGGGGACTTCCCTCCCAGTCCAGAGCACATCCTGTTCCACTGGAAGGCCACCTGGGGCCCAGTGACTCTCAGGTCTGGAAGACCCCCAGGGATCCCTACAACCCCTTAACTTATGCTCTGCTGGGGTAAACTTGCTAGGCTCCCGGCTGAGCGGGGGCTACTCTGGGGCAGGAGTGGCTCTTCATCCCCCACTCCCCCCACCTGGATGGACGTGCAGAGGAAGAGTGTGAGCTGGAGGGAGAAGGCAGGGGGCTCAAGAACCAGGTGCAGTTCCCACCTGTGCTGAGGCCCAAAGGTAACAGGTGTACCTAGACTCCCAGCAGGGGGCAGTGGGCTGGCCCGTGGGCAGGCCTGGGCCTGTCTGGAGTAGGGGTGTAGGGAGGGGCCCAGAGGGCCTGCCCTGTTAACAATGGGGTGGGAGAGCAGCCCAGCCTCCTGCTGACACATTCCTGTTTGATCAGGAGGAAAACACAGGTGACAAAGGAGGGGAGGCACCTGGAGCAGGAGAGGGGGCTTTGTGGACCACCCATGCTAGGGCATTAGTGGTATTAGTGGTGTTAGTGGGGGGACAGGTGATGATGAGGTGTCTAGAAGCCTGGGGGGTTGGGTCGGTGCCCTCCTCTCAGGGCACATGTGTCTATGGCCCCCCACTCTGTGGCTCTCAGGTGAAACAGGTCAGAGCCACCGGGCATGCTCAGGCCTGAACTTTCCCTGCATGCATCAGACACAGGTAGGGGCTGACTGGAAGGACACTGTCCCCCAGAAGCCAACCAGCCTGAGCTGGCTGGGCAAGGCAAGTGAGGGGCATATTAACTGATAGGAATGTCAGGGCTGAAGGCCCCCCTGCCGGCCCCCTCCAGCCTCTTGATGTAGTCCTGAACTGACCACCGCCCCTGGGGCCACATCACTCTGTCCTGAGAGCAGGATGGGCTCAGACCCCAGGCTCTCTTTCACTCTTGAAGGAAGCAGCTCTGAGCTCCCAGGAAAGCGAGAGTTCCTGGAACTGGAGAGGGTAAGCTAGTACACACCCCACTCAGCCCACCGGCCCTAGCAGCTGCCTGAGTGCTGCTGTTTGCCCAGGGAATTAAGCTGAGGCTGGAGGTTGCTGGCGTTTGCCCCTACCTAGTCCAGCCACCCACAGGCCCTGTTAGTGGCCCTGCCCCCAGCCTGTCCTGCCCCCTTCCTCCCTAGCTCTGGACACCAGGCCTTGTCCCCATCCCCACCTAGCCTCAGAGTTTCCTCAACTTCCTTGAAGTGAACTTTGCTAGGAGTTGGGCTAGAGCATGGGGGAGGTACTGATCGGGACACAGGCCCTTCCTCATGAACCCACAAGTCTGCAGCCCCTGTAGCAGCTAAGCTGCCTATCTTGCTCATTTCTACATTTGAAGCATCAGACCCAGTGGCCAACTTGTTAAGCAGTTCTTAAAAGCACAGAAGATGAATGAATGAAGGTGGTACAGTGGAGGCTGTCAGTGCCCTCAAAGGCTGCGGCAAACGGGGTGAGCCAGGAGGAGGGAGGACACTGGGCAAGGAAGAAGGGATGGCAGAGGGAGGACTTCTTCGCTCTCACCTGCTCCCTTGTCCATTCTCCTGGGCTAGGTCCCCTCCAGGAGGGGACAGGCGGTAGGGACTGGTGAGGACAGGGCCAGGAGGCAGGACTGGTAAGGACAGAGTGGCATTCGAGATCCCCACCTCTTTTATTACCCTTCCAAATGCATAGGATTGGCAATGAGCCTTCTACCTGTTCGCACCCCATCAGTAAGGTCACCAGGACAGAGCTGTGTCCAGCCCAGCTGTTCCCACCCCACTGTGTACCAAGACTGGGCCCTGGGCCCACCAAGGCAGATACTCTAGGAGTCTGCCCAGGCCCAGTGGTCCAGGGTTCTCAAGGTGGGAGACCTGGGAGGAGCCTGGGAGCCCCAGTGCTCCAGTGGGTTTTCTGGCTAATGATTAACCCTGGCCTATGGAGAAGAGTGACCAGGTAGATGGGATGAGATGGGGTCTCACCAGGCCAGGTGGGGTGGAGGAGGTACTAGGGTGCAGGAAGTGTCGGTGGGTGGACCTCACAGAGGCTTAGGACTCACACCCCACCTATGCTCCCCTGCCCATGCTCCCGGGCTCCCTAGTGCACATGTGGGCTTCACTGGAGGGAGTGGGACATTGCGAATCTACCTGGAAGGAATCCAAGCAGAGGAGGAGAATCAGCCAGACTCTCCAACTGGGCCCAGGCAGAGGTGGGTCATGAAGGGGATACTTCCAACTCCAGGCCCCCACCCAGCACTTGAGCTTTAGGCTCCATGCTCCCAGTCCAGGGAGCTCTTGTCTGAAGGAAGAGTTTTGGAGAAAACTGGGGGCCAGGGCCAGGAGTGGGGGGACAGTGGGAAAGGAGAAGGATGAGCCACTAGGACACCAGGTTCCGTATGGTGCAGACCTGAGAGCAGGCCAGATACCTTCAGTTTGCAGAGCAGCATGCCTGTCTCAGGTCTGCCCCTGACTCTGGAGCTGTGCGGTCCCAGGGCCTGTCCCTGCCTCAGTGTTCAGTGCGGCCCTGAAGGGAGAGCACCCTCTTCCTGAGACTTGAACTTGGGCCTCCCAGATTCCTCCACATAGAAGACCTGTGATGGCATCCAGTGGGACTTGGGAAGGGGATTTAGAGACTAAAAAAGAGATGAGGCACAGACACAGAAGACAAAGATGCAGCCACAAAATGAAAGTTAATCCAGCCCCAGGAAACTGAAGGAGTCTGAAGGAGCAGGCACTTAACAGGTCCTTGCTGAATTCAGAAATGGATGGATAACTACATGAATTTAAAATGGAAGTGAGGGCAGCATCTGTGGCTCAGTGAGTAGGGTGCCAGCCCCATATGCTGGAGGTGGTGGGTTCAAACCCAGCCCCAGCCCAAAACTGCAATAAATAAATACATAAAAATAAAATGGAGGCGAGGCTGGAGGCTGTGGTGGTAGATCCTGGCCTAT